GATCAATATATCGTAAATACAATGAGTTTAGTTAAAGTATCCAAACAACGTGTCCAAATGATGAGGGATGATGGATGTGATGCTTTAGTTGCCGGGGTATCTTCTTTTTGTGGAAAACATGATATTATTATTCCGAATATGGATGAGATATACATAGCTCGAGGAAGGTCACAACGTGGTGAAATAGTCACTAATCTACACCATTATCGTGTTGAATTATTTTCTACGGTGTTAGATATGCAACTTTAAGAGCTTAGCGATCGTTTTACTGAGGTGAACACCGAGCTACTTCTTTGTGTGACATGCCTAAATTCAATGGATTCATTCTCTGCATTCAATAAGGAGAAGTTACTTCGTCTTGCTCAATTTTATCTTTCAGAATTTCCCCCAATGGAGTTCTTGATACTTGATAAATAATTTGAGACTTATATACTTGATATGTGCTCCAATGAATTTTCAGAAGTTAACGGAATTGGTAGGCTTGCGGAGAAGTTAGTTGAGACAAAAAAAAATATAGTATATCCATTGATATATTTGCTCATCAAACTAGCACTTATCTTACCAGTTGCCACTGCAACCGTCAAAAGAGCATTTTCAGCAATAAACATAATAAAGAATCGAATGGGAGATCAATGGATGAATGATTACTTGGTTGCATATATTGAGAAAGATGTTTCAAATATCATTGAAAATGAAATGATTATGCAACGGTTTCAAATTTTGAAAACTTGTCGAGAACAATTATAATGATTTATTGGATGTTCGAGAGTTAGGAGCTCTTTTTGTATAAGATCTCAAGCATTAAATGATACTTTTGATGTGAAGCTTTTTTGTTGCCTTTTTTTGTACATCATTGATATACATGAGTTGCGCCTTTAAATGACATTCTTTTGATGTAACTATGCTTATAAACAGTTTTATCAAGACTACATATATTGATGAAAACAATGTTACAATTATACTTTGAAATTTAAGAATTTAGGTTGTCCCCCACTAAGGCAAAAAATCCTGACTCTGCCCCTGTATATCTCTCTATAGTCCAGTTCACTTTGTCTTTGTCATTCTTAAAACTACTATAAGCCATCTAAAGTAATATCATAAAATACATTAGTTATTAGCAGATTGCGTATAATAATAACTAAATTGAATAAAGCCACAAATCCACATTCATCTTCTTCTTCCTATTAGAAAATCCATACCAAGAAATGAAGATGAAGGGTGAGCTAACCAACCAAGTAAGACCATTTTGGGTCCCACCATTGCCACAAATTGTGAATTTAAACTATTTCTATTGGAACAAAATTACTTTTTTTCACTTTGAAGCTTAATTATGATATTAAATTCTGATGGTCTTCATAATTATCTATCTATTAGCAAAGAATTTTGATAGCTCTCAATTTGTAGAGCTTCATGTTCTATCTTTACATTCTTAAAAATATTTGTGTACTATTGGTCTGGACATTCTTAGGAGCTAAGTAACAAACTTATACCAATTGTAATATCACATGCATGTTTCTTGAGACATCAATATAGTTAAGGCAAGTAAAACAAGGGTAACTTTTTTTTTTTTAAATGACACTCTTAAATCCTCAACTAATATGAACAATTGGCATGTACAGGGTTTTGGGGTTAATCTTATGGCATCAATGATTCCCATAGAGTTCACTGCCTAGAAGGCAATTTTAGGTGTCTCCATAAATCAAACATCTAGTGGGAAGTAGGCAATGGGCAATACCAAGGTTATCATAGATATACACAAATCATAAAAATGTCACAGATCTAATATGTAACATAGTAATCAAGAATCAAATAAAAATATTTTTTCCCAAAACATTTAACTATCACCACAAATTTTTTCATAAATGTTACCCAGAAATCTTAAATGAAATTATAGAAACCTACAATAAATCAAACAAAAAATGGAATTGTTGCTTTTTCATAATAGATCTGTGACATAGAAGCTATAAAATTACTTAAAATGAAGAGGCTGTAACTTTATTCAAGTGGGTTTCGATCAACAACAAAACAAAGACAGTGAGAGAGGGGGCTAATTTCGACGTTGTCAGTGGTAATCAATTCTCGAGCTTCACTAGTGATCTTCGTCGATGATCAGGGAGGTGATTGAAGGCAAGGTGATCATCGTTAGTGTCATCCGTGGATGAGAGTATCTGCATCGGGGTAGGCGGCACGAAAATGAAGATGAAGTAGTGGTTTTTTAAACAAGTGTTTTATCAAAGGGATAAGTTATTTTTTTTTAACTTGTACTTATTAACTTATTTAAGTATTAAAATTATTTTTACTAATTCAAAACTGTTTTTAAGAAGTTATTCCAACACTATTTTTTTTTTTTAAAGAACTTATGAAAAGTCAAAAACTCTAAAAGTACTTTTTTTTAAGCCATCCAAAACACAGTCTTATTGGTTTTCACATAAGACATAACTAGTACTTATTCACTTATTTAGGCTCAAAAAATTATAAAGAATTGATAAATCTTGTGATGGATGTCCAAATTAACATCTTGGAATAAAGAATTCTCATTTGTTAGATTCACACTATCTACAAAAATAGAATACACACACAACATGTATGTATGTAAAGAGAGAAAGAGGAGAAGACGACTTATAAAAGACATGCGTACAACGTCAATTATTGTTGTTCTTGGTTAACCTCAAAGAAGGGCCTCTAGATCACTACTTGCGTTAGAGAAGAGAAGACAAAAATTGATTTAATTTTTATTTATCCCTTCAAAATTCGAACTGTCTAGTTTAATTGAACTATTTGGTTCTCTAATTTTCTACACAATTGGTTGATTTAAAAGTTTTTGGGTGGTTTAATTGTGTAAGAGGTCTAATTACTAAATTGAATCGGTTAAGGATTCAGTTCACCGGTTCAATCGATATGTCCAATCCAATTCTGATAACAGCGTATGAAGACAATAAAAACTTGTGTTGTCAAAGTTATGGATATCACCATGCAAAAACAATTTCTTACTACTCATTTTTGGCGGATTAATGACCCCGAAAATTCAGTTAGACATTCATTTGACATTGTTGATAAATAATTAAACACTTAACTTTATGTGCATGATGATTCTGGCACAATAAATGATATGACATATCTTCCCCTGGATGAACTCAAGCTTGTTTGAGAAGTCAAAAACTTCCCTAGCAAATGGGTGTTGAGAAGTCGTAATGGATGTTGATGAAGCGTTCTCCAAGCGATTTGTTCGCTCGTGAGTTATCAAATTGGGTCCTATCACACAAAAAGAAATGTTAGAAGGGCACCAGAGTGTTTTTCGGCGTGACCCCTTCGACGATCAAGTCAGTATTTGAGAGAGGGTTTGAAGAAACATTGTTCTATTGTTGAGCTGAGATTTTGCGTACTTTAGACTTGAGTTTGAGAGTGTTATTTATATCTCCCTAGAGTCAATCATTGCAGATAGTTGGGTCCCTTGGAGGAAAGACTCCTCATTGACTCACTTGGAAGGCAACATGTGATGCACAGTCTTTGAGTAGAGTGCTTTCCTTTTCAGGTGGCAGAAGCTTCTGCATTTAATGCTCAAATCTTTGGGCATTTAATATTCGTCTTTATGATCTTACCGAGTAATAAATATGTCTCATCCTTCTGTTGGGTCAGTTAATGAGCCCTGATTGTGGTTGTGTACGCGCAAGGGCACTTTCATCCATCACTCCCAAGAGATTAGAAATTACATATCTTGTAGTCTGTGATTCTTCCTCTTTGATTGATAAACTGTCTTTACAACCATTTTGACTTCCTTGGGAAGGGTGATCGATGATTGATAATCAACCTCACTCTCAAGTTATGATGCTCTACTTGAATTTGATCGTTGGCATGCTTGCATCAACTGACCTTCTCTTTAGGAATTTAGCCATTTGGCAAAGGCCAGCCATCAAGGCAATCGTCAACATCTCACCAGCATGGAGAGCTCAACGTCGAGGCCATGTGTCAGGTGAAGAGTCCTCTCAAGGGGACCTGGTCACCAATGACATGTGTTGAGCGATTGGGACTCCAAGGGGAACCAACTATCAAGGACACGTGTCAAGCAGAGAATGCCCTGGAGGGACTTGGGTGTCGAGGACATGTGTCGAGCAAGCAACGCTTCGGGGTAACCACACCAAGGACATCCAAGTCGATGACACGTGTCTCTTTATGGAAACTCTAAGACCACTATGTTGAGGACATGTGTTGCCTCCCTATCAATTTTCAGCAACGTCCCATTGCTTTATAAAAGAAGAACACTATAACAAATAGAACATAAGGCTTCTTGTTGAATCGATTGAAACTCTTGCTCTCTCCTCATATGCCTTCTCCTAGTTAAAAGTTTGGGTTAATGGCATTGTTCTCTCAGATTGCTTTTCAATATATTTTTATATGATTTCTTAAGTAGACAACATCCAAATTATTAATAGTTTTTGATCATAAATTTATTATTTGATATCTAAATATAAATAAAAAATAATTTAAATAGTTATTGAGACTAAAAAAAATAAATTAAGATAACATCCATAAAATATTTGAGATTAAAATAAAATACTTAATGAGTGAATTACAATATGGATTTGACAGCGAATGTTAGTGTCAGTGTCAAATTGTAACTATTGTATGACATTGAAATTATAATATGAAAAAATTAATTATTGGGGTATAAATTAAGAATATTGAAATCTTTCGCTGGGAAAAGTACAATTCACCATATACCTATATATATAAAAAAAAAAAATTGTCCAAAATGTTAACGCGTAACATTTTCGCTTATCGGTATTCAGTAATCTTCCGCTCGAAGACCCTCGCTGTGGCGGAACAGTAAACTACGCACCCCGGCGTATTCTACCTGTCTCTCCATCATATCCGTTCGGACTTCCGAACCAGCGGCTCTCCACCTCTCTCTTCCCTTGACATACAATTCCAGACTAACCATGATCGCAAAGGTAATTACGAATCTGCCACCACCCAATCCACGCCTTTCACGAACTTATATGAACTTTCTGTACATGTATATGGACGCTCACAGAGAGAGAGAGAGAGAGAGAGAGGGAGAGAGACATATGATTTGACACAATTGTTGGTTATTGAATATGCAACAGCAAAGAAGTTCATCTGGGATATCACAAAGTCCTAGATCTCCATCTTCACAACCTCCGTTCCTATTGGTATCAGTCACTGATCCGGCTAAAATGGGCAATGGTGTCCAAGCTTATATCTCCTACAAAGTCATCACTAAGGTAGTCCAAAAATATTTGGGTATGAAATATATGATGTCATATTTTCATTTATATGTCTGTTATGTATAGATTGCAAATAGGGGGACTCATTCGTAACTCGTAAGTCTCTATTGCAAACCTGAAATACCGTTGTGTGGATTTGTTTTCGTACAGTAAGAGCACAATGTGCTCTCTATTTTCACTCAATTTTGATTTGGAGAGTCAAACTCGCTCTCTCCACTATGTTTTTCGACTAGGAAAATGGTATCTTTGCCTTTTCGTTCAAGACATTCGGTGTAAATATATCTCAACTGTGTCAAACTCACTTTTTCCTTCGGCTGAACCTCTGAGTGGATTTCTCTGAAAAAGCTAAATTTGTCTTCAAACTCCACAGTCCACAAGTACTACATCGAGATATAACTATTAAATTATTACTTCAACTTGTTTCTCTTGTTAATTAATTGACACTCTATTGATTCCATTTCATATCAAGCACTCTTAGTTGGTGGCCATCCCTCAACTTGTTCACTGGTATGTCTACATACATCTATATAATATATATTTATTAATTTTAAATTAATCAATAGATTTTAGATATTTTGTGTTTGGTTTGTATATCTTGGTTTAGAATAATTTATAGATTTATTTTTGTTAAAAGAATGGAGGCAAAATGGGAGGGAAGACAAATTTATTCCAAAAAAGGACAAAATATAAAATGATAAAATGATAAGGATAAAGAGTCCTATTGGATTGGTGTTTAAAAATCAATTCTCTGTTTTAATTTTTTTTATAAAAGATGCTCTCTATTTAAAAAAAAATGCTCTCTAGAATAAAGAGCACTATTGGAGATGCTCTAAGTTTGATTGGTAGGAAATTGTTTTTAAAAAAAACCTTTTACCCAGTTTGAGATCCTTGAGACGTTGTTAGGTTTTTTCCTTGGGGAGTAGGGGGAGGGGCAATGATCAAAATTTTGTTTTAGTAAGTTATTTTAGTCACCTAGAAATGGAAATATTTTACTAATGTTTCGAAAATAAAATCAAAACAAGAAAAAAGTTAAAAATTTATTTTTGAAACATAGGTGAAAACATACCAAAACACCTCGAAATATAAAAATTTAATATTCATTCACAGATTGTTTCCAGTTTCTATGGAAACAAACACGTTTTGACATGAATTTTTGAATTTTGTTTTTTGGGGCTGCGTATGGACTTAAATTTTGGTACTTGTCCTTGCATATATATGAATCGAGAACCTTGAGGTTGGCAGAAGAATTTCACGATTACATTGGGTAATGGCACCTCTAAACTGCACTAGGTAATGGTACCTTGGGCAGCAATTTCTTGCTTTGTTCTTTTGGTTTTTTTGGAAAATGCTTTTTTTTTTGTTACCTGAAGTTGTTTAGTTCAAATTGTTGTATCTAGGTGCTTGACTTCGTTTTGTTTCTAGAGACATATACTAAAAAAAAAAAAGATAGAAAAAATCTGAAAAAAGCTTTCTTCACCTTGTTTAAACTTATTTTATTTTCGTTTTCTATATATTTAGAATAACCAAATGAAGGGGAGGTGGAAAAACGAAAGGAGATGCAAGTGTTTTTTTTTCAATTAGATATATTGAAATAAATGACTTTGTTTTATGGACCCACCTAAGGTTGTCAAAACGTGTATTGAAACATGCATCGTTTTTCAAAAATTATGTATAGTGTATCGTAACATATCATGTATCCTAAGTTTAAAAAAATTGTATACACAACACACACCCCTATAAATATGTATATATAGTGTCTGAAGTAATATAAATACCATTTCAACTCACTTATCATTTTTGTGTGATGTGTGTGTCCAATAGAGATCGAAAAAGAGAATCATTTGTCTTCACAACGAAGATCGAAAATACAGTTATGCTTTTGCTTGTTTCAATAAAAAAAAAAAGAAAATAAGATGCATGAGAAACAAAAGATGGGTCTCCTAACAATAAAATGATTGAGAGTTGCTTTTGTTTGAGATCAAACCAAAAAAGAAAAAATAACGCATTGGAAAATGTTATTTCACTGTTTATGGTAAAAAAACCTTGTGAAAACGACGTCGTTTTGATATTACGTGAATCGTTTTTTCATTGTATTGAAATGTAGTGTAAGATACATATCGCATATTACAAAATGCGGTGAAAAACAATACAACTCGTGAGATATGTATTGTTTGGGTACTGTATCAAGATGTATCATAAGATATTGACAACTATGGACCAACTAGCTCTATTTTATAATGAAACAATGGATTGCAAACTTTTTGTTTTTGTTCCATGTTTTTGTATTTGTTAAGAATAGTAGGGTAGTATGTGTAAATTGTTAATAGTAAGAGGGTATATGTATAATTCTTATTATTGTAAGTTAACTATAAATACATGTGATGTATGAGAGCTAAGTTAAGTTTTTAACCTCTTTCTTTGTCCCTAATATATTATGTTAATCTTCCAAACTTAACATGATATTAGAGCTTAAACGATTTTAAATATATGAACACTGTTGTGTGGTGTCTATTGATCGTGTGATTTCTGTTCGCCCACTTGCGTCGTTTGTGGTGGATGTGGTGTGTGGTAGTGTGATTGCTTGTGGTGGTGGTGGTGGTGTGGCTTCGGTTCATCGTCGAGTAGCATTCTTCGTGGTAGTGGTGTGGTTGTGGTGGCTGCGGTGGTCTTGCTGTTGTCGGTTTATGGCGTGTGTTGTTGTCGCAGACCAGGGGGAGGCTTCTTGGAACCCTAAGTAACAAAGAAGAAGAAGAGCTCCAGACTCACTCGGGTTGGATTGGATCGGGTCAAGCCCGACTTAAATTGTTTTTAAGTCCAAACCTGGTTCAGCCTACAGTTCAGTTTGGACCAGATCACGGGTTAGGCCGGGTCAGCGGTTCATCTTAGACCGGATCATGGTTCAGGCCGGTTCAGGAGTCCAGAGAGCCTAACCGGTCCGGTTCAGAGGTCTAGAGAGTCTTGTTGATCCGGTTCAGTGGACCAGCCCGGTTTTCTAGCCCGGTTTAGCAGTCCAGTTCACTTTTCAAGCCCGGTTCAGTGGTCCAGTCCACTTTTCAGCCCGGTTTAGTGATCCAGTCCATTTTTCTAGCCCGGTTCAGTGGTCCAGTCCACTTTTGCAAGCCAGTTCAGTATTCCAGTAGCTTTGTTCAGTCCGATTTATCACTCCAGCAACCTTATTTGGTCCGGTTCAGGCCCTTAATCCACGGTTTCTCCTTTTTCTTTGCTTCTATCATTGCTATATTATTATGGAACCCAAGAATAAAAATGATGATAGTCAGATTGATCTTATTTCATCCACGTCTCCAAATTTTTCTCTTACGGTTCTACTTAATGGTCCCATGACATCTGTTAAACTCAATAGGACCAATTATGTTTGGTGGTCACGATCTGTTCAAGTGTTTCTTAGAGGTAAGGGCTTTAAGAAATATTCAGTGGACACTAGACCTAAGAAAGGTACTCCTGGGTATGATAAGTGGGAACAAGAAGATACTTAGATTATTTCATTGCTATAGAATAGTATTGAGCCCAGTATCAGTTCTACGTTGCTATATCTTGACACGGCCAAAGAGATCTGGGATCACTTAGCCACCATGTATTCTGGTACTGGGAATTTCACTCGTGCATATGAAGTATGCAAACAGTATTTTCGTCTAGAGCAGGGTACTTTGAGTCTTGAGGACTATTACTCTCATGTTCGGAGAGTCTATGAGGAGTTGAAGCTCTATCATCCCTTTACTACTGATGCAACGGTTTGGCAGAAGCAACATGAGGATTTGAATGTTGTTCGATTTTTAGTTGGTTTGAAACCTAAATACGAGTCTATTCCTTCTCAGATTTTGGGTGGCTCTAGTCTTCCATCTCTACTAGAGGTCTTCTCCTGCGTGCACCGTGCTACCTTCTCTATCAGCTCATCTAACACGGAGTCTGGTGTGCTTGCTGATCGTTCAGCTCTTGTTGTCCCGAGTAGCCATGGTGACAGTTCCTGAGGTGGTCGCGGTGGTCGGGGAGGCTGCACTGGCAGCCGTACTGGAGGTCGTGGAGGGTGTTCAGGATCTCGTTCATGCTCTCACTGTGGCCGTGGAGGCCACACTGTTGATTATTGCTGGGATTTACATGGCAAGCCTTCGGGTGTTGCTAATCAGGTTTCTTATCAGGATGACACCCCTACTCCTGTCGCTATACCTCGGTCTGCTCCTCCTAATTCTGTATCAACCACTGGTTATTATACTTTCTTATGAGGTAATGTTGTCTCATGGACAAGTAAGAAATAACACGTGGTAGTAAGATCCAGTGTTGAGGCTGAGTATAGGGCAATGACCTATACGACGAGTGAGTTGACTTGACTACTACACTTTCTCTTGGAAATTGGGTTTCCAATTCAACTTCCTTTACTGTTGTTCTGTGATAACCAGCCAGTTATCCATATCGCTGTCAATCCTGTGTTTCATGAAAGAACCAAGCATATTGAGGTTGATTGTCACTTTATTCGGGACAAAATAGTAGTTGGGGAGATTACAACTCCATTTATGAAATCTGAAGATCAGCTTGTAGATATGTTTACCAAAGCATTGAGTCGTACACGTCTTACAGTTATTTGTTCCAAGCTTGGATTATATGATATATATAGTCCAGCTTGAGGGGGAGTGTTAATAATAATAGGGTAATATGTGTAAATTGTTAATAGTAAGAGGGTGTATGTGTAATTCTTATTATTGTAAGTTAACTATAAATACAAGTGATGTATGAGAGTTAGGTTAAGTTTTTAACCTCTCTCTTTGTCCCTAATATATTATGTTAATCCTCCAAACTTAACAGTATTCATGTATCTTTATCGGTTTAGGATTTTTGGGCAATTGATTCTGTATTTGGACGTAAAATTGAAAATTCAAATTGAAATACTTTATGAAGTTTGCTAATTGAATAGTTTGTAACTTCTTGTGGCAGACAAACTTACCTGAATATCAAGGACCAGAAAAAATTGTTATTCGGCGCTATAGTGATTTTGTGTGGCTACATGATCGTATTTTTGAGAAGTACAAGGGTATCTTTTTTCCTCCTCTTCCAGAGAAGAACACTGTAGGTAACAATTTGCTGTCTTCTATTGAAAAATGTTGGTCTCACAATATGATTGTGCTATTGATTAATTTGCTTGATCTTTCAAAATTAATTTTTGTGTTTCATTTGTACTTTACTTTCACTCCAGTACACGTCTATTAAGCTATTTGTTTGACAGAGCGCAAAAAATATATGCTCATAAGAACACCTTTTAATCCAACCATCTAGCATTCCTTGTGCCCCTGTAGGGACTTCCCTGTCACTATCTCAGTAAAGTGGTCACTTGTCAGCTCAACAAATCCCACAGTGGCTTGGATTATCATCTGGTTTTTTAATCCTAAGGACATTATTTGTAGTACATATTTAAAAATTAGGGATATTGTAGTGGAGAATTGAATATGACGATTCAATATATCAGGAAAAAGGTCTAAAACTGATATTTAAATTTTTTAAACATTGTTTTTTACAATTTCACCCTATCTGGTCCATAGCAGTTGTAGGTTATACTTTTCCTTACTATCTTGACATGTGTTCCTTTTGGCTTTACCAAGGATCTCTTTACCATGATTTTGTTCGAAGCATTTTAAAATTGTATTGATTAACTTTCAGTCTTTCTTATGCAGAGAAGTTTAGATTCAGTACCGAATTCATTGAAATGAGGCGTCAAGCATTGGATGTGTTTATTAACCGGATAGCTTTACATCATGAGCTCCAGCAGAGTGAGGATCTGAGAACCTTTTTGCAGGCAGATGAGCAGGTGATATATCAAGGTTTGACAGCTTAAATAGGATAACTTAGTTCCCTATCCTACTATGAAACTATCTTGGAAGTATCAACTGAACGGCTTTAACATTTAATGCAAGGCAGCAAGAAACTAACAGATTTGGTGTCCTGTATGAAGATAAGGCCTCATCCTGAAGATTCTAATGCCCGTTAATTGATGTGAACTTTTTCACATAGTTCCTGTGCAGTCCATTATCACTAGATTTGGAAACTGTTCTACTTGTAAAGAAACAGAATCTGAAATATTCCAAATGTCTTAGGTGGTTGATATTTAGGATTTTTTTTTAGCAATTAATAGAAACAAATTTATTGAATATAAAAGTAGAAAAGGGCAAGGTGGGTATGTGCTCTGAAAGGAAAAAAGCCATCTCCCACACAGAATAGTGAGCTAGAACAATGCTGTAAGATACCAGAGAGTGAAAACCATGGCTTTTACATACCTTTTGCCTTGCGATTCCTGCGGGAAGAGGATATCTGTTAAAGCTGAGATGTCTGAGTTATCTGATGTCATGCTCAAAGCAGTTTATAATCCCTTGGGAGATATATTTATTTTCTGAAAGACATGTGTTTGTTATATTCTTTTTCTTTGAGGACACCATTTAGTGAACTCTTAGGTCCTCATGAGGCAGCAATTTGGAAGGAATTGAGCAGCTTCCACTCTATAATTTAGCATGTCTTTAATATAGGCTTAGGAACAAATTGTATGGATGTAGCTGCACTTTGGCTTCCTTTTCCTTGCATTCGTCTTAACTTTGTGGGTTTATTTGCCTCTTCTCTTCTCTTTTTTTTTTTTCTTTCTTTTTTCTTTGAACGGGAGAACCAACCCATCTCCTTGTGTAAATGTTGTTCAAATAAACTTTACAGTTTCCTAGGGCAATGATATAGGTTTTCTTGATTCTTGGGGCTGCGAGGGGCAGATTGGGTGTAAACATAACTTTGGTCTTTGTTTGCACAATGTGGCTGCCCTCAGGATTGCTCCAAGAAACAGGCCCACAACTTTTGGTTGATGGTTAACCAGTCTATGAATAGATTAAGCTAGGTGTGTGGTTTTTCGACAAAGAAATTTTGTTGATGCTCCAATGTTCACCCAAAGATTCTCCTGGAGCACCAAAGAGGACTTCATATTTTCATTAGTAAAAGGAAACATCTCAAAAACCTTGGACGAGATGCAGTACTTAGGCCTGAAATGCATATGTTATTTGCTTCTCAAGTCTTCCGAACCACTACCTAAACCACTTATCTCAAAAACCTTGGATTTGCCATAGTCCATAGGAGAATACTTGGAAATTTTCCTAAAAAGACATCTCAGTGCACGAGATCCCCCTCCCTATGCGGTCTTGGACTCTTGGGAGGGTCAAATTCTTGTTGATGCTCAATTCCCGAGAAGTGGAATTCTGGTAACTGATTTTGTTGAGGAAGCATTTATCACATACATTGTTTGGAAGACTTTGTTGAACTTATTGTTGCCTAAGCATGTATTGATAATAACATTGTGCAATTTGCTGTTCTTTCTTTTGTTTCCTTTTTAGCTGTGCTTTTTTCATGAAGTTCTGTGGTTAATCTTGATATTATCTTTTTGCATATTCCGCAGACAATGGAGAGAGCAAGGTCTCAGGAGACTGGGATTTTTAAAAAGAAGCCCACTGATTTGATGCAAATCTTCAGGGTATGTCATGTCTAATTAATGAGGATACTTTTGTGATCATGGAAAAATCTCAGTAAATAAAAGAGCTAAAACTTATGCCCGTTGAACATGATGACTCAAGATCTAATTAACCTTGAGCACATTCTGATCAAGCTGAGTCTGGAATACTCAATTCTTTCTCAACTCAGGTCATTGTGGGCCTATAAGTGAAGATACAAATGTGAGGTTATATCAATTTCATAAACCATTAGGGAGCCTTCAATAACATTGAGGTTTTTGTCAACCATAAAATAAGCTCTAACATTGGATGATTGAGGACCCTTATGGTATATTCTGGATTGACGACTGATAGAATATAGCTGGTTTTGTATTATTGAACGAACCTTCTTCCTCTGACCTGGTCTTGCACAGCACAGAATCCCAGAGTTCATCAAGCATCCCAGCCGGTATTCACCTCTCCCTGAACCTGAATCTGGCCGCCTCCTATCTAGACCAGTATCCATTCGAAAAGATGAAATTAGCAAGCAATGGCCTCTGTCTCTCTCTGGTTGGTCACTAACAATGACCAATGACCGTTGTACATGTTTGGCAGGATGTGCAATCTAAGGTGAGTGATGTTGTTCTTGGAAAGGAAAAGCCAGTTGAAGAATCGAATCCTGAATATGAGAAACTGAAACGATACATCTTTGAGCTCGAAGATCACCTAGCTGAAGCTCAGAAACATGCATATCGTCTGGTAAAGAGGCACAGAGGTATGAAGAACTTTGATTTAATTTTTTATTTTTTGCTTTGTTGCATTTATTTTGTCCTGATTCAAGGACTTGAAATACTTAGTTTTTTTTATGATATTCATATTCTTCACCTATTACCTGAGATCAATTTCAGGTTTCTTATTCCTTCACCCTAATGCATATTGTAAATAACATAGATCCGTATATACTGAGTTTCCCTATATATATTAACAGAGTTGGGGCAATCACTGTCTGATTTTGGGAAGGCAGTCAAGCTCCTTGGCGACTTTGAAGGAAACGCTCTTGGGAAGGCGTTTTCTGAGCTTGGAGCAAAATCAGAGATGTTATCAGTTAAGCTTCAGAGGGAGGTGAGTTTTAATTGGAAGATCACCCAATTATTTAAAACTGTTTTCTGACTTATATGACACTAAAGAATTATGTGGTAACTGCCTTTGCTCCATCATTCAGGCCCACCACCTCTTGATGAACTTTGAAGAACCTCTAAAAGACTATGTTCGTGCTGTGCAATCTATCAAAGTGAGTTGTTAGCGCATTCTCTTTGTTAAGAATTTGTCATCTACGTCTTGAATAGTTCACTGAACTCATGGTTTAAAGAATCAGACAAGCCCAATACGACTTGACACCTTCCATTCTGATAGTGTTCCACGTTCCATGTATATCACGAGTCTCGCTTGACTCGACCAAGTCATCCAAGGTGTTTCCAACTCAACCATGAGTCGGCCGAATCTCTTGGCTTGAACTTGTTCTCTCTTGCATTTCATGTGTATCGTCCGATACCATTTCGTGACACCGCGTACGATGCATCTTGGTGCTCTCAGATTGGTCTGATACCCTGACTTTGAACCATATGATTGAACTTAGCATGGTGATTCGTTTCTTTCCTGCTCACTTGGAATTTTATCAGTATGGTATAGCTAAAACATTGATGTTTCTGTTACTCATGTAGAGAGAGAAAATAATAATGACGGGTTGCTTCACTGTTGGGATCTTTAACGGTCACATCTATTCTTTTTATTGGTTTTAACTTTCTATCTTTTTTGTGTATGTTTTTTTTGTTATTTGTGAAAATCTAATGCTATTCATTTGTTTTCTTGAAACAGTCCACCATTGCAGAGAGAGCCAATGCTTTCAGGCAGCAGTGTGAACTCAATGAAACTTTTAAGCTGAAGGAAATAGATCTGTATGGTTTTGGTCAACTTATACAGTTTATCTTTGCTCTTCTGTGCAGTAGCTTCTTAAATATGAACTGCAAACAAAAAATCTTGATCTTGATTTCACCTTGTTAAGTGTAGAAGATTAACACAATATTAGAGAGAAACAGAGATATGTTAAAAATATAACCTAGCCCTCATACATCACTTATATTTATAGGTAACTCGTAACAAGAATTACACATACACACTCTCTTGTATTTATACATAATACCCTAATACTATTAACAAATTATATATACTACCCTAATATTCTTAACACCCCCCTCAAGCTGGACTATATATATCATATAATCCTTGGAACAAATCTCTATAAGACGTGTACGACTCAATGTTTTGGTAAACATATCTACAAGCTGATCTTTAGATTTCACAAATGGAGTCGTAATCTCCCCAGCTACTATCTTGTCCCGAATAAAGTGACAATCAACTTCAATATGTTTGGTTCTCTCGTAAAACATTGGATTGGTAGTGATATGGATAGCTGCCTAGTTGTCACAGGACAATTGTAAAGGAGGTTGAACTGTGAACTCAATTTCCTGGAGAAAGTGCAGTAGCCAAGTCAACTTACTCGTTGTATGCATCATTGCCCTATACTCAGCCTCAGCACTGGATCTTGTTACCACAAATTGTTTCTTACTTTTCCATGAAACAACGTTATCTCATAAGAAAATACAATAACCAGTTATTGATCTCCGATCAAAAGGAGAGTCAGCCCAATCAGCATATGAGAAACCTTCCACTCTAAGATGTCCATTAGCTCGATATAACAGTCCAAGTCCAGGAGCTCATTTAAGATATCGTAGAATATGAGTAACTGTCTTCCAATGTCGTACTCTAGCACACCCCATGAACTGATTTACTATACTGACTGCATAAGAAATATCCGGTCGAGTAATAGTGAGATAATTAAGCTTCCCAACCAATCTGTAATACCGACCCGGATTCTCAAACAGTGCATCATCATCCATCAATAGTTTTTGATTCGGATCCATAGGAACATCAATCGGTCTACCACCTAACAAATCTGCTTCCTATAGTATGTCAAGTACATGTTTTCTCTGTAATAAACAAATACCCTGTTTAGATCGAGCCACTTCAATTCCCAAGGAATACCTGAGTTTTTTCAAATCCTTAGTATGAAATCGATCTTGCAAGAAGATTTTGAACTTAGCAATCCCCTCAGAATCATTTTCAGTAATCACAATATCATCTACATAGACCACCAATAGAACATATCCAGCATCCGTCTGTCTATGGAACACAGAATGGTCTGTCTGACATCGAAGAAGGCCAAACTCTAAAACTACATTTGAAAATTTACCAAACCATGCCCTCGGTGATTGCTTCAAACCATACAAAGATTTCTTTAACTGACATACACTCTTACCATACTCCCCCTGAGCAGTAAACCCAGGTGGCTACTCCATGTATACTTGTTCAACCAAGTCACCATGGAGGAAGGCATTCTTGACGTCTAATTAAAACAAGGGTCAATCAAGATTAGCAGCCAAAGAAATCAAGATACGAACAGAGGAAATTTTGGCAACAAGAGAGAGAGTCTTCTCATAATCAACACCATAGGTCTGAGTAAAGCCCTTTGCAACAAGCCGGGCTTTGAGACGCTCCACAGAACCATCCGGATGAAATTTAACTGTATACACCCAATGACAACCAACAGTTCGTTTACTGAGGGTAAAAGAACAAGATCTCAAGTCCCATTATGATGTAAGCCATCCATTTCATCCTCCATAACTTTCCTCCAACCCATATCAGATAATATATCCTGTAAATGTTTAGGGATAGATATAGTAGATAATTGAGAGGTAAAACAAGAGAAAATAAGAGATAAGGCATCATATGAAACAAAATGAGCAATGAGATAATTAGTAACACACGAACGAGTACCTTTTCGAAGAGCAATAGGTAAAAAGTTTGAATTACCTGATGGACCAGGATCAGAAGGCGGCAAGGAAGACAGTACGGACACCTAAGTCGATGATTGAGGACGACGAGAGTATACACGAAGGGGTAAAGTAGACGGTAGCACAGTAGGCAGCGGAATATCTGAAGGTGAGGGAAGGGATGGTGGTACAAGAGGTGATCCAAAGTCCAGATCCAAAAGCTGAGAAGGTGATTCCTCAAATGTGACATCAACACTACTAAAATATCGTCGCAGAGAAGGACTGTAGCAGCGATATCCCTTCTGTGTGCGGGAATAACCAAGAAATACATATTTGGTAGCTCGAGGACCAAGTTTATCAAACCCAGGACCCAAATTGTGAACATAACAGACACATCCAAAAATCTTAGGAGATAGGAAAAATAAAGGCCTACTAGGAAAAAAGATAGAATATGAACTTTGTCCATTTAACACAGAGGAAGACATACGATTAATAAGATGGCAAATAGTGAGTACAACATCACTCTAAAAATATCGGAGAATATTCATCTGGAATAATAGGGTACGGGTGACTTCCAACAAATGAAGGTTTTTTGTGTTCAGCAACACTGTTCTGTGGAGATGTGTAAGCACAAGAAGTCTGATGAATAATGTCAATTTTACTAAGATAAGCAGAGAAAGGATCAAAATCATATTCTCGAGCATTATCAGAATGTAAAATACGTATACAACAACCATATTGAGTTTTTATTTCCTTACGAAAGGTCTCAAATATAGATTAATTCAGACCGAGCTTTCATAAAAAACAACCAAGTCACACGAGAATAATCATCCACAAAAGACACAAAATAAAGATATTTATTAGATAAAATATTCTTTATTGGACCCCATACATCAGAATGTATCAACTTAAATGGACTAGACACATAATTAATGACTCTGGACTGAAATGACACACGGTGATAATTACTAAGTTGACAAGTTTCACAAGATAAAGACGACACACAACTAAGACTGGGAACTTGGCGCTTCAGATTCTGGAGAAAGGGATGTCCAAGGCGACAATGCCATTGAAAAGGAGACAACGAGGTCTGTAGAGCCCGAGTAGGTGAATCAAAATCAAAATAATATAAGCCACATGCTTCATGCCCCGTACCAATCTTCCTCTTCGTCTTGAGATCCTGAAAGACACAATAAAAAGGATAAAATGTTACAGAACAATTAAGAAAACGTGTAACCTTACTAATGGAAAGTAAACTAAAAGAAAACTGAGGAATAAATAATATGGATGATAGGGACACATCAGGACTCAAGTGAGTAGTTCCCAGACCTGAAACTTTAAAACAGGTACCATTAGCAAGAGTAACACTACGTGTGAAAGTAAAAGATTGATAAGTAGAAAAGACATCAGACACACCAGTCATGTGGTCAGAAGCGCCAGAGTCTATGATGTACGGACTGCGAGTAGAGGACAATAAACAAGTGGAAGCAGTACCTGACTGGGCAAAAGTAGTAGTAGAGGGAGATGGTACAGCCTGTTGCTGGGACAAGAACTGGGCATACTCCTCTCAACCCAATGTAATAGTAACTGACCCAGTGTCTGGTGGAGCTGATTGAGATATGGAAGCAACAACTGAGGTATCATGCTGATAAGAAGCCTGATTAGCAGCACTAGAAGATTTTCCATGTAAATCCCAACAGAAGTCAATAGTGTGTCCTCCACGACCACAGTGAGTACAGGAACGGGATCCATTAGGGCCCCCACAACCACCCGTACAACCTCCTGTACGACCTCCTCGACCACCATGTCCACCGTAATGACCATCACTATGGCTACTAGGAACCACAAGAGCTGAGTGATCAGTGGAGACACCATGATCAATGCATGAAGGAGAAGACAATATAGCACGTTGTAAACAAGAGAAAACCTCGAGCAGTGATGGAAGACTAGAACCACCCAAAATATAAGAACGAATAGGCTCATATTCAGGTTTCAATCCTACTAAAAATCTAACAACATTTAGGTCCTTATGTTGCTTCTGTCAAATTGCTGCATCAGTAGTAAAAGGATGATAGGTCTTCATCTCCTTACAAACTCCTCGAACATGAGAGTAATAATCTGCAAGACTCAGAGTACCCTGCTCTAATCGAAAGTATTCCTTGCACACCTCATACGCACGGGTAAAATTACCTGAACTAGAATACGGCCAAGTGATCCCATATCTCTTTGGTAGTATCAAGATAGAGTAGAGAAGAGCTAATACGAGGCTCAATGCTATTCAACAATAAAGAGATAATCTGAGCATCCTCTTGTTCCCACTGATCATACCCAGGAGTGTCTTCCTAGGTTTAGAATTCACCAAATATTTCTTAAATCCTTTACCTCAAAGAAAGACTTGAACAGATCGAGACCATAAAGTGTAATTAGTCCATTGAGTTTGACAGAGGTCATGAGACTATTGATAAGAGTAGGAGGAGGCACAGATGGAGTAAGGGACGTGGTATTTTGCTTGGGTTCCATAATAGTGCAGCAAATAGTAAAGAATAAGTGTTGCAATGCTGAACCGGGACTGGAAATGAGGGCTGGAGCATTGAACTGGACTAGTTGGACTTTCTGGAGGGCTGAACTGGACTAGAAATAGGGGCTGGACCACTGAACCGGATCAAAAAAGAGTACTAGATCACTGAACCGGACAAGTTGAACCCTTTGGACCTCTGAACCGAGCCGGTTAGACTGGCTGGATCACTGAACCGGACCGGCTGGGGTCTTTGGACTGCTGAACCGACCTGAACCATGGGGCTGGACCACTAAACTGGACTGACCAGGCTTTCAGGGCTGCTGAACCGGCCTGAACCGTGGGCTGGACCCTGGTTTGACTCGATCTGATCCAGACCCGAGGCTCCTAGACTTCTTCTTCTTCGTTGATTAGGGTTTCAGTAAACCCTAATTTTTAGCCACGACAGCCCCCTACCACTTCTTCTTCTTCGTTGATTTAATCTGTGACTGTGCCTCACCACCACGACAGTCCACCACAACCTCCACACCACAACACACCACCACCACAGCGAACTCTAAACAACGGCGAGAAGGCCACCACAACTAGCGACGTTCCACCACGATACCAAAAGTACCACCACGACACAGCAACGACACCACCACCACCACAGCAATGACACCACCACCACAGTAGCAACGACACCACCACAATAGTGGCTTTTACCAACAGTACCACTACCACCACAACAACAGTACCATAACAATATCAAGTGTTAATTTATTTAGAATATATTTAGGATCGTAAATGCTTTGATACCATGTTAAGTGTAGAAGATTAACACAATGTTAGAGAGAAACAGAGATAGGTTAAAAACATATTCTAGTCCTCATACATCACTTGTATTTATAGGTAACTCATAACAAGAATTACACATACACACCCTCTTGTATTTACACATAATACCCTAATACTATTAACAAATTACATATACTACCCTAATACTCTTAACAACCTCTAATACCTTCATTAATTATGAGGGTAAGGAGAGCGTGTATCCAACATCGAATAATTAAGGCTACTAAAGGTTAGATTTATATGTTTAAGGGGTCTCTCTCTACTCGTCAGTTGGGTTAGATATTTTAACATGGCATCAGAGTCGGACCTTAGGTGGTGGTCAAGTCTCTTACCATATTTGTTTTTTTTTAGTTAAAGAAAGCCAGTATCACACATTGAATAATTAGAGACACCCAAGGTTGGTCTATATTTTTAAGAGGACACTCTACTCATTGTCAATCAGTTTTGGATTGGATACCAATGATTACTTCCATTATTAATGTCCTGGTTGTGACAGTGTGCTATGAATGAGTAGGCTCTTTTTATCCCATGAACACCACAGTACTTGTGTGCAAATTGGAGTTTGGGCGACACATTAGAATGTGTTTTTCAAGTTTAGTGCAACATAGAGAGTGTGTAATATTATAGCTCACTTTCTGTCATAAAGTTCAACTTTTGAAACCATGAAAGGCGATGTGAAAATAGTGAAGTTGAAAGCATATTGACAATATGTTGCACTTTTTTAATTTAATCTTTCAAACAGAATTCCCTCTTTGCTCATGGTCCTGAAGGTTCTAATTATATAATCTAGTATTGGTCGTTTATGTATATTTATCCTAGAGTGCGTAGTTTATGTATAATTATTTATTTGCAGGAACAAACTTAAATTAACACGGTCAGAAAGGATGGCTGAGGCTGAGCACGAGTATGAAGAGGTTAGTTAGCCTAGCAAAATTTTCTGGTGTCCACTTCAGAAATCTTGTGTCTGCCTAATTGTGGTTTTGTGACACAGCTGAAAGCTGATAGTGAGGAAGCGACAAGAAGATTTGAGACAATAGTGCGGCTGATGAACAAAGAGATTGTGCGATTCCAAGAACAAAAAACATTAGATATGGGGCTTGCTTTCCATGAATTTGCAAAGGGACAGGCACGTCTGGCAAATGGTATTGCTGATGCCTGGCGAAGTCTCCTTCCCAAGCTTGAAGCTTGCTCTTCCGCATAATACATGTCAAAAATGGAGCTATGCCCTTGTTCTCCAGGTTCCTAAGGATTACTGGGGCAATTCTCGCTTTGTAAAGACTCGCTCACTGTAATGAGTTACATTTGCTATCTCCTTGTACGAAGTGTAGTGGTTTTCCATTTTTGTAACTTGTACATACTCAAGGCTAGGTGAAAAAAGTGAAAAAAATCTGAGTTCTTAGTCTCTGGAACGCTCCCCAGAGTATAGCAGTCGGAAACATTTCATGCGTATCTTGAATTCAGACCCATGCCTACATTCATGTAAGCATTTACTATTGATTGTCTTGTTCCTGTTCTTTTAACTTAAGCTTTTAGAGCTCTTAGTTTGTGATCAGTATATTTCGGAAACCTAAAAATTTTGAGTTCAAATCAAATTAACAACTCCTCTTTTAGTACACAATACAATAAATTGGGGAGATCACCAAAGAAAAAACCCCTTATTGTTATAAAGAAAAAAAAAAAAATTCATGTTATATCACTCTTTATTGGTTTTTAACGAACTATTCTAGACCAGTTGGTACAGACTTTACATGTCTTATCATGCTTAAATCTTGTTTTATTTAAAAATTTATCTACTATTATGGTTAAAAAGTTAAAATTTCACTTTATAGAAGTACAATAAAGGTCAAGATTAATCTAATTTTTATCGATCAAAATATCATTTTTTATGCACGACCCCCAATGCTAAAATTCCACTAATCCACACTAATTTCTCTATTCTATCTTAAAGGCAAGAAAATTAAAATATAATTATTTAAAATAAAAATACTGCATAATCGATGTTTGATTTTGTGTTGCAGATTGTTTTTAGGCACTGAGATATTACTAGTTTATCTAATATTATAGTCCAGAAATTAATTCTAAATTTACAAAAGTATAATAACGGTTAATATTAATCCAATTTTACTTTGATAAAATGATACAAAATTTATTCTAATTTTTTTTTCTGCTCAAAAATACTATCTTCTTTGCACGGCCCTTGATATCAAATAACTCAATTAATACACTTCTCAATGTCAAATAATCCCACTAAGCCGTATTATCGAAGAAATTTTATAAATTTTAACAACAAATGAAAATTATAAATTAAGAGGGGGTGTCAAAAATATAATTTTTTATTTTTATTAAGTTGGTTATACAGTAGTTTCTGGAATTATGTAGAGTTGTTAAGTTTTCTTATGCTCTATTTGATAGGAAAAATGAAACAGATGAGGGATGGAAAAATATGAAATTTTTGGTCCATTTGATTTGTATCTCAAAAAACAGTATTCAAAAATAGTTTTTGAAAAAAATTTTAAGAAAGTGTTTTTTAGAATTTTTAGATTGCAAAACCTGTTTGATTATATATTTTTGAAAATAGTTTTAAAGAACAAAATATTGTAAAACCCGTTTGGACAATAATCTACAAAATCCACAATTGTCATGTCTATCTTTCCTCTCTCTTTGTCTTCACAAAACTCACACACACGCACACACATCTAAACCCACATTTAGATCTACACAGATCTGTGCTTCAGATCTAGGTAGATCTAAATTTTAATTGTTGTGAGATAGAGATGCAATTCTCTGCTACACAACGTTGTTGCAGAGAGAGAGAGAGAGAGAGAGAGAGAGAGAGAGAGAGAGAGAGAGAGAGAGAGAGAGAGAAGAAGACGATGGAGAGAGAGAGAGAAAGGGGAAAAAAAAAGGAAGGAAGTATTTTGCTGCTGAGGGGACTCGAAGGTCAGACCTCCTTGAAGAAGTATTTTGCTGCTGAGGGGACTCGAAGGTCAGACCTCCTTGAAGACCCAAAATTGTCTCCATATTTCTAACGTTTTCAAATAAAACTCTGAAATCAAGTGTAGCTTGTTTTTTATTTTTTAGTTCCAATTCTCATTTTTTCTCAAAAATTTGAGAATAAAAATGCTAAGCAAATATGTTTTGCTCGTTTTTAAAATTTTAATAATTAAAAACAATTTTGCAAAAAAAAAACAAACACGCAAAGTTTTTTTCCTTCCTCCATTTCTATTGGCTGAATGACGTGATTAAGGCGGTAGAGAAGTCTTGAAGCTCCTGGATATGAGCTGGCTAAACTTAACCATGATGATCTTGACTCCCATTGGTTGGATGACACCAGCTGGTTGTCGCGGCTAATGTGAGCGGCTAAATGCCTACAAATAGGCTTGAAGTTTTAGGCATGAGAATGTATTCAATGAATAAAAGTGAAAAGGTAATCTTAGTGTAGTTAGGTTTTAGGTTTAATTTATTTTCACTCTCTATAAGGATTAGTTATTTTTGTCTCTTTAAAGACATGTTATAATTCAGTTTAACCCACGATAATCAGCCACAAAAAATTCGAGAGGATAATCGGTACAAGTATCTGTAACAAAAAAAAAGAACAAAGAAAAAAAAAAGAATGAGTGAAACTGGATTCGAAACACCAGTAGATGACAAGGAGTTAGCAACATGACAAGATGCAGATTAGAAGAAATATAAGGAGAACAAAAAGATGCAGCAGCGACACTTCTTAATATTCAATGAGGGGTTAACAAATCTATTATTGTCCAAAACTTCTGGGTGCAAAACACTAAAGGAGTCTTGGGAGATATTAAAGATTTGATAACATAATCTCTAATCAAGCCTCAAACTTTATGACAAGATTTTAACAATCTAACAATTAAAGAAAATGAATACACATAAGAATTTTTTTCTCGAGTTGCTGGTATTGTCAATCAAATTAAAAGTTTTGGAGATACCCTTCCAGACAAAAATATTGGTAACAAAGTCTTACGAAGTTTACCCGTGATGTTCAAGCATATTGTTGTAGCGATTGAGGAGGCGAAGGATGTGTCAAAATTGACTCGACATCTGTTAAATGAGTTTTGTGGAGGCACACGAGAAAAGGATGAGCTGGTTTACAAATCAGTTTTTAGAGCAAGCATTCCAGAGGCTACACTAGTCAAAGAAATTCTAACAGTAATTTTGATTCTCAGTGTATTATTTACAAAAGATTTAATCATACTGTCAAAGACTATAGATTTAGATGCAAAAATTGCAAAATATCAAATCATTCTCAACAAGATTGTTGGTTCAACTGTAAACAAAGGAAAAATATATCATGCTCTTTTGTATGAATATTTAACAAGAGTGAGAAAATACATGGTATTTGGATGGTGGATGCAACAATCATATGACTGAGAACCAAAAGATGTTTATGAAGCAGGATGAAAAAGTTTCCTCACAAGTAAAGCTCGGCAATGGAAAGCTACAAAATGTCGAATGCAAAGGAGTTATTGTCATCAAAAGGAGGTACAAAAAATTTGTTATTGATACTTTATGTTCTTGGATTGACTCAAAATTTACTTAGTGTTAGACAACTGTTTCAAAAGGATATGCAGTTAACTTTAATAACGGTGCCCGCATTATTTCTGATAAAAAGAATAATCAAACAATGACAAAGGTTCAAATAACTTCAAATAAAATATTTCCTCTAGTTATGCTACAGGATAAAAACCTTGCACTTTAAACTGAAAAAATCAGTGATTTCTATTTATGGTTCTTGAGATATAGACATCTAAATTATAAAGGCTTGAAACTGTTGAAAGAAAAAAGTATGATACATGGCCTACCTTATATTAACAGAATTGATAAAGTATGTGAAAGATTTATTTTTTGGGAAGACGCATCAACTACAATTCTAAAAGACATCTTGGCGATCTAAAGCACCACTACAGTTAGTGCAAGCTAATATTTGGGGGGCGAGCAAAATACCATCAGTTGGCAGCAAAAGATATTTTTTTCTATTTGTTAATGATTGTATTCGCATGATGTAGATTTATTTTCTCGAGCAAAAGTCAGAAGCATTCTCCAAATTTCTTGAGTTTAAAGCCACGACAGAAAAACAAAGTGGCAGAAAATTGAAGGCGCTCAGGAAAGATCGTGCTGGAGAATTTATCCATACTTCATTCATGAATTATTGCAAGGAAAAAGTAATCAAAAGCAACTCTCAATCCAAAAATCACCTCAGCAAAATGGTATAGTTGAAAGAAAAAATTGCACTATTGTGGAAATAGAATGAAGCATGCTTAAAGGCAAAGGACTTCTTGACAATTTATGGACTGAGACCGTCAACACAGTTGTCAATATTCTCAATCGATCTCATACAAAGGCATTTCTAAACAAGACACCCCTATCAATGAGTCTAAATGATATCATCTATACAATCCAGATAAAAATGAGTTGTTGATTTTCTAGGATGTCATATTTGATGAGATGGCAACATGGCAATAGATATACAATTCAGTCCAAGAACTGGGAGACTTTCAATTTATCGAACCTGTAAGATTGCAAGAATCTTAAAGTCCACAAAGGAGTCTAGACTCGAGCCCAATTCAAAGCCCATGATCAACTCCAAGCACTAGTCAAAGCCTTAGTTCAAGTAGAAATTCATCCGAAGGCACATCACCACAATTATCTAATTTTGAAACACCACTAAGGAAAGTACATTCGTTGGCTAATATATATGAATCATGTGATGTTACATTTTTTGCCTACGAGCCACAAAATTTTGAAGAAGCATCAAAAGAGGAGATATAATAGAAGTTATAAATGAAGAAATTATAAGTATTGAAAAAAAATCACACTTGGGTCTTATTGACTTACCTAAAGAAAAAGAAGCAATCGGACTCAGATGGGTTTATAAGACCAAGTACAAGGAAGATGGTTCTATTAAAAACACAAAGCTCGACTAGTTGTGAAAGGTTATTCACAATAGTCGGGTATCAACTTCAATAAAACTTTTTCCCCGTTGTTTGAATGTAGACAATTAGGATAGTTCTAGTATTAACAGCACCTCGTGAGTTACCAGTATATCAGTTGGATGTCAAATCTACATTTTTTAATGACAAACTGGAAGAGAAGTGTATGTGGAGTAACCTTAAGGTTATCTAATCAAAGAAAAAGAAGATAAAGTTTATCGACTTCACAAGGCATTATATGACTTAA